ATTAGCTGTGGCCAAATCACAGCTAAGCACAAAAAAAACAAACAAAAAAAAAACCCCTGAATGAATCAATGTCATTCAGGTAAATGCTTGCTTATAGCAAAGTAATTCTTTGCTATAAACAAATTGTGTAAAAAAAAAAAAAAAAAAAAATACTGATCACTTCCCCAAAGTAGTACTATGGTAACATTGTACTACTTTGGACATAGTGAAATATGAAAAAAAAATCTTAAAAAAAAGAAAAAAAATTTAATAAATTTAAAATAAAAAAAATATATATAATTTTTTTTTTTCACACTGTCACCAGTCAGTGTCCCTGATCACCGCCATGCCAGTTATATGAAGACGCTGTACTGCACTGGTGACAGTATGTAAAAAACAAAAAATTGTGAAAATAATTTTTTTTATTTTATAAAAATTATGACAAAAAAATACAACTTCAAAAAACTCGCCATGCCTCTTATGAAGTACGTCGGACTGTCTACTTTGCAAAAAGTGGTCATTTGGGGGATATCTGTACTATTCTGACATTCTTGGACCTCAGGAAATTAGATTGGCTGTCAGTACTTCAGGATTGATCAATATTCAGATCTATACCATAGTTTGTGAACTCTATAACCTTCCTACAAACTAAAAAATACATCCTAATTTGGGTTATTTTCACCAAAGACATGTAGTAGAATACATCTCGGCCTAAATTTATGAAGAACAATTATTTATTTGCAAACTTATAACAGAAACAAAGAAAAACGTGCTATTTTTTCAAAATTTTCGGTCTTTTTTGTTAATTTAGCAAAAAATAAAAACCCCAGCGATGATTAAATACCACCAAAAGAAAGCTCTAGTTGTGTGAAGAAAATGATAAAATTTTAGTTTGGGTACAATGTTGTATGATCGCGCAATTGTCATTCAAAGTGTGAGAGCGCTGAAACCTGAAAAATGGCCTGGGCAGGAAGGTGTAAAATTGCCCGGTATTGAATTGGTTAAACATGTTCTCAAAGTCAAGGGAACCAGGCTTCCAGGGTTGAAAACAAACACATTTAAAATGTTTTTTAAAAATGTTTCCTGAAACCCAAGGAAATTAAACAATATCAACATTTAACTTAGATTTAAACTAAACTAATTTCAACTTGAAATGTTCAATTCACAAAGGTGCTGTATGCTGACAGGACGGGGAGACCTGCATGGCACCAGCGATCTGCTGACCGCTGGTGCAATGCTTTAGAACTCCACAAACAAAAAATTATGAATGTACATTTTTTTTACCTGCAAAAAAAATGTGCATTTATTATTTTTTGTTAAAAATTGAACTTATCCTTCAACAGTTTTTCCAACCTAAGGGATGTCCAGGAGGTAATGGATAAGTTTTTTTATACAACAAACTGGACACTGAGGAAAGTCCCAGGTCTAGGACAAAAACACACACAAGAGGGCACAAACTGATCCTGCATTACCTTAATAAAATTAAATCAAATGGCAAGAGACAAAAACACTCACAAACGCATGAAAACAGCAGCCATATACAAGAAATATAGCCTTAGAGGCCCGCCCCACCTCGAACCGTCTGGTAGGAAAGCTAATGCGTTTAGCGACATAAAACTTAAATGATAAAAATCATAAATAAAACCTTGACTCTGAGTGTTGGAAGGCAACATTTTTTTATTTCAGACATTCATGGATTCTTACTGCCTGGCTGTCAAAGACCTATTTGGCCTATTGAATGTTATCTTGGAGTGTCAAGAAAAGCAAGTATTTACAACAGGATTTGTGTAACAAAAGGCTGCATACCAAAATCCTTGTTCTGGGAGTTCACACATACCCCCTAGCTGCGGGGCATGGGGATAAGAAAGCCTCAGCCCAGACTCCGTGGTGACACAAATATTAAAAGGACAGATTACATGGCTTCTACCCGGAAGGAAGAAGCCAGATTTGATTGACCTGGGTCCGAGCATTGTTGGCAATATAGCAGTGCCTCCTGGTGGAGACGACATACTTCTGGGGGGATGGCTGGGGTAATTCTACATTTCCTAATGAATAGGGAACAGCCCCTTATGAGTTATGGACATTTGCTCATTGGACGGAGGACGACACACAGGTTTGGCCATGCTTCTGCCTCTTTGACCATTTTTCCTACCTGGGATCCAGCTAAAAGATACTCAGCTTTGAGGACAAACCTACATAATGTATCATCTTCACTATTATTCCCATATACTCTGTAATATTGTTTTAGATTTCTCTGTTAGTGTTTTACTTCCTTTGTAAATAAATAAGACCTTGCTTCTTTGAGCAGTGTGTTTGTTATTATAGCTAATATGTATATTAATGTTAATATTAATGTATATGTAATATTAATATTAATATGTATATTATGTCCTTCAATATTGTCAAAGCTAAGATATATTAATGAAGTATAGGAACCGACAAATCGTACATAATTGTTTAACAAATAAGGGGATTCCAGAAAACCACCCCCTTATTTATTTCACTGAGGAAGAGGGTTGCCCTAGAAACACATCAGCCTTACTTTGGCCCTTGGATGGCACTATCTTGGCGTCCGGGTCCACTGGTTCCTTTGGGAAGTGCTTAAATTTTTTTCAATTTTTTTTTTATATTCTTTATTTTGAAGAAATTACATAACAGATCATACAGAGAAAACAAACATCAAGACAGAATGTGGTATAACACAGCCCATCCCCAACACAAAGACTGTACAGATCCAATGAAGATCACCAGTGACATAAATAAGATCCAGAGCAGGTAGAGATGAACCACACCATCCACATCCCCAAGAAACATAATTTCTTTACATTTTGTCCTTTTATCAAAAGTAGTAATAAAACATTTTACCCCAGAAAACTTAACAGAAAGTGAGAAAAGAGAGAAGAGAGATGAAATAAAAAGAGAGGGAATAGAGAGAAGAAAGAAAAAAAAAGTAGAAGGAAAAAAAGGGGGGGGGGGTGTAATGGGGAAGGATACAGAGGAGAAGGGAGGGAAGGAGAGGGAGAAACCGACCCTCCGCCCAACCTCCCGGGCACCCAGATTACCAGAGAATGTGAAGAGTTGCTTCCCCCTAAGGGGCAGCGCAAGACTGGGAAACCAGCACAGTAGAAGAAATATGGGGTCCAGGTTTTCCAATATCTATCCCCCTGTTCATTGGGCAACATGGTCATACTCTCCATTTCTTGAATCTCATTAATGCGAGCTAACCAATGTGTCTTTGTGGGAGGTAATGGATTCTTCCACAATGCAGGGATGCAGGCCTTTGCTGCATTAAGGAGGTGTTTCAAGAGAGAATGCTTATATCTTTTATCTGACATACAGTGAGAAACAGAAGTATTTGAACACCCTGTGATTTTGCAAGTTCCCCCACTTAGAAATCATGGAAGGGTCTGAAATTCACATTGTAGGTGCATTCTCACTCTGAGAGACAGAATTAAAAAATACATTTTACATTTTTTTAAATTTTAAAATTAAAAAATTCAGAAAAATCACATTGTATGATTTTGAAAGAATTTATTTGTTTTGCACTGCTGAACATAAGTATATGAACACCTGAGAAAATCTGTGTTAATATTTGGTACAGAAGCCTTTGTTTGCAATTACAGAGGTCAAACGTTTCCTGTAGTTCTTGACCAGGTTTGCACACACTGCAGCAGGGATTTTGGGCCACTCCTCCACACAGATCTCCTCTAGATCTGTCAGGTTTCAGGGCTGTCGCTGAGCAACAAGGAGTTTCAGCTCCCTCCAAAGATGTTCTATTGGATTTAGGTCTGGAGACTGGCTAGGCCACTCCAGAACCTTGATATGCTTCTTACAGAGCCACTCCTTGGTTATCCTGGCTGTGTGCTTCGGGTCATTGTCATGTTGGAAGACCCAGCCATGATCCATCTTCAATGCTCTGACTGAGGGAAGGAGGTTGTTGCTCAAAATCTCAATAAATGGCCCCATTCATCCTCACCTTAATACACTGCAGTCATCCTGTCCCCTTCGCAAAAAAGCACCCCCAAAGCATGATGTTACCACCCCCATGCTTCACAGTAGGGATGGTGTTCTTGGGATGCAACTCAGCCTTTTTCCTCCAAACACGACGAGTGAAGTTTAGACCAAAAAGTTCTACTTTGGTCTCATCTGACCACATGACTTTCTCCCATGCCTCCTCTGGATCATCCACATGGTCATTGACAAACTTCAGACGGGCCTGGACATGTGATGACTTGAGCAGGGGAACCTTCCGTGCAATGCATGATTTGAAACCATGACGGCGTAGTGTTCTACCGACAGTGACCTTTGAAACTGTGGTCCCAGCTCTCTTCATGTCATTGACCAGCTCCCCCTGTTGTTCTGGGCTGATTCCTCACCTTTCTTATCATCAGTGATACCCCACGAGGTGAGATCTTGCATGGAGCCCCAGTCCGAGGGAGACTGACAGCCGTCTTTAGCCTCTTCCATTTTCTAACAATTGCTCCAACAGTTGATCTATTTCACCAAGCTGCTTGGCAATTGCCCCGTAGCCCTTTCCAGCCTTGTGGAAGGCCCACAATTTTGTCTCTGGTGTCTTTTGACAACTCTTTGGTCTTGTCCATGGTAGCAGTTGGCGTCTGACTGACTGTGGGGTGGACAGGTGTCTTTAAAGAGCTCAGACAGGTGCTACTAAGTTAGATTAATAAGTGGAGTAGAGGTGGACTTTTTAAAGGTACAGTAACAGGTCTTTGAGAGTCAGAAATCTTGCAGTTTCTCAGGTGTTCAAATACTTGTGTTCAGCAGTGCAATACAAATAAATTCTTTAAAAAATCATACAATGTGATTTCCTGATTGTTTTTTTTTAAATTCAAATAAGTAGAGAGGTTTGAAAAATATTATGAGAATTTTCAAATTCTGAAAGTATACACGTAAGACCTGAGGTTACCACATAGTTAAATGTTTTATGCAACAGTATTAAATGACTACGTTCAGTCTTTTTTTTTTTATGTAAAAAAAAAAAATTAGTGTTTCATAAAGGGCCTCACAACTGTGCACATATGAATTCGCAGACATCAGTTCAAACTACTGCAGTTTTGTTTTTATTTTCTTCAGCTATAAAAAGTCAATTTGACACTTACCTTTGATCTGATTGCCTTCTAAATTGATGCTCTCCATGCATTGTATCTTTGTTAACTCTTCTGGAAATACCTCCAACTTGTTTTTAGATATATTTATTATTTTCAGCTTAGGTAGGTGACTAACTTCAACAGGGAGTCTTTCAAGAAGATTTCCTTGCAGATCCAATTCTACAACATCAAGAGAATGTTTTTTTTATATTTGTTGATAAACATTATCTTATTCAGATTAAAATCTGAAAAATCCATTTATGCTCCTGAGAATATGCAGTGATAACATCTGTGGAGATTCAAGCATATTTTGAAGTCGAGTTTGAGAAAACCCCACTACATATTTGTCATCTGTTCCTATTCTCACAGCATGCCTAGAAAATGTTTTTTTCTTAGCCTTTAGAGGTCACTCAGGAGATGGTGTCATGGCTGGCAACAAGCTTTTTTGAGCAAGTCTGTCCTCATTAACATACAATGCAGGAAGCCCAGCCTCTACACCACAGGTGTCAAACTGGTGGCCCTCCAGCTGTTACCAAACTACAAGTCCCATGAGGCATTGCAAGATTGACAGTTACAAGCAGGACTCCCAAAGATAAAGGGTTTCGCAACAGCTGGAGGACCGCCAGTTTGACGCCCCTGCTCTACACCTTTACCCTTTTGTTGGGACATACAGTGCTCAAATCTAGTTACAATTGAGAACGAAGGTCTGCCCGCACAATAGAAGGAGGGTTAACTATGGCAAACACAGCTGCCAAGCTCCCTCATACACAAAGAGAACAACCTAAGATTTGTTTTTACTTGCTGGAAAGTCCAGAATCGAAAAAAGTTAAATTGCAATCTTTAAATATTTTTTAAAGTTATGCTATGTGAATAGGGACATTTAACAAATGTAAAGTAGGTGTTATTCCAATTTTGCTGTAAAATTGAAATATACTTTAACCGCTTGCCCTATGGAAGATTTACCCCGCTTCCTGACAAGGCCATGTTTTGCTATTCATGCAATGTTGTACCCAAACGAAATGTATGTCCTTTTTTCACACAAATAGAGCTTTCTTTTGGCGGTATTATACTACTGCTGGGTTTATTTTTTGTGATATAAATGAAAAAAAGACTAAAATTTGAAAAAAAAAAAAAAAAAAAAAAAAGACATTTTCTACTTTTTGTTATAAAAAATATCCAATAAACTCAAATTTAGTCCAAAATGTAATCTGCAACACATCATGGTAAAAAAAATCCCAATAAGTGTATAGTAATTTGTTTGTGTGAAAGTTATAGCGTCTACGAGCTATGGTATAGATACTGAAAGCTACGCAGCTTTTACTTTCTGACTGACACATTTCTCTCACATTTCTTGAGGTGCTGAAATGCCAGAGGAGTACAAACACCCTGCAAATGACCCCTTTTCAGAAAGTAGACACCCTAAGCTATTTGCTGAGGGGCATAATGAGTCAATGGAAGATTTAATTTTTACCAAAATTTTCCAGAACAAAAAAAAAAAAAAAAAAATAATATATATATATATATATATATATTTTTTTTTTTTAACGCAAACTTGACATTTAAATGGTATATTGCTCACACATGCCATGGGTATATTTGGAATTAGACCCCAAAATATATACTGCTTCTTCTCCTGAGTATGGGGATACCACATGTGTGAGACTTTTTGGGAGCCTAGCCACATACAGGAGCCCCGAAATTCAATGACCCTTTGAAAGCCTGATGGTGCGTAAATTCCTCATTTCACTTCCTCGCTACCTATCACAGTTTCAGAAATTCCAGGATAGCACAAAGCCCACCCAAATGACCCCTTTTTGGAAAGTAAACACCCCATGCTGAGAGGCATGTTGAGTCAATGGAATACTTTATTTTTAACAAGTTTTTGGAAAATTACAAATATTTGTTGTTTTTTTTTAACACAAGTTCCAAACTCTTGGCAAATGGTTTGAGGTGTCTATTTTCGAAAAAGGGGTCATTTGGAGGAGTTTGTTATCCTGGCATTTTATGCCCAGAACTAGAATCTTATGCTACATATCACCCACTACTCTAACCACTTGAAGACCAAGCTTTTTCTGACACTTTTTGTTCACAGGAAAAAAATCTGTATTTTTGCTAGAAAATTACTTTGAATCCCCAAACATTATATATATTTTTAAGACACAGGCCCTAGAGAATAAAATGGTGGGTGTTGCAATTTTTTATGTCACACAGTACTTGCACAGCAATTTCAAATGCAAAAAAATACACTTTTTTTATGTAAATACACAAAAACAATATATTGGTCAATTATTTGGTAACATATAAAAGAAAGATGATGTTATATTGAGTAAATAGATACCAAACATGAAATGTTTTAAAAAACTGCACACGCCTCGTGCAATGGCAACAAACTACATTACATTTTAGGCATATATCAAGTGTTCTTTTTTTTTTGTTCATCCTGTGGGCTAAATTAAAAAAAAAAGAACTTAACAGTTTTCTACATTCACATTGATTGATGTAGATGAAGAAATCTCTGCCAAAATAACATTTAAAAATATATGCCGAAGCACAGAAGCGATCCATCCACTGACCACCCCAGGCCCCCATGCTTGGGCATATATGTTTTTTTTTTTTTATTAACTGCGGATGAGAGATCTTATCCAGCAGTGCTGCATGCACTGACATATATTCTGAGAGCACAACCTGTTGCTGTCAGAATAAACAGATTGGAGCTGCAGCTGAATGGCCTTACTGTAAAGAAAAACAACAACGGTTAACAATAAAAACAGTAACAATAGAGTATTAACAACTTTTTGAAATCTGTGCCAAAAAATATGAAAAATACATATGCTGAAGCATAGGAGCGATGCACCCACTGGCCACCCCAGACCCTATGCTTGGGCATTTGTTATTTTTTTTAACTGCGAATGATAAATCTCATCCAGCAGAGCTCCACACACTGACATATATTCTGTGAGCACACCCTGGTGCTGCAGCTGAATGGCATTCCTGCAAAGAAAATAACAATGGTTAATAATAAAACAATACAGGTTAAACAGTAACTCAATAGAACAACAACTATTTCTTGCTTTTAATTATTTTTTTAAAACTATAAACTTTCCAGATTTTAGGGTCTCTCAAAATGTGATAGTCAGTTTCTTGACTACCTAACACCTTTCAAGACCCTGTGTAAATATGTACCCTAGACTGTACATTGCTGTACCCTATATTAATACTCTACTAGTGTGTAGTAGTGACGGAAGCAGTCATTGAGGCAGAGACAAGGTTGGCCAGGACAGGAGGGACAGAAAAAGAGGGTGGCACATCTAATTCCGTGTCTGCTACGGACATGATGATATCTTTTTGGGGGTGACTTTTGGATTGGGATACAAGGAACGGCACCAGAAAAATGCCTCTCTTGCAGCTGGCTCCCTGCATCTGGGTTAGGGGTTTGGGCCACAGCACCTTCTGGATACAAATGGGCCATGATGATATCTGCCTGAAATTTTTAGTATCTACATCCAGTTGCTTTGTAAAGCACAAAAGTATTGCACACAGCCAATTTCAATAAATATACAGACACTTTTGCACCAGCGTCTGACTTTTTCGGAAACTAAGCATGGCTTCATCATCTAGTGGTTGAAGTCTACCCCTCCCATGTTAAGGTTATAGTCATGGACACAGAGGGTCTTCTCAACACCAGCTGCCATGGAAATTTGGATGGTCGTGTCTGCATGAATGGAAGACAGGGCAAAAACTTCCCGTTTGTCCTTCCACTTCACTGTGAGCAATTCACCATTTTTTGAGCAGGATTCCTCCCCCTTTCTAAGTCAGGTATTTATGAGCCGTTGGGGAAAGACCCAGAGATTAGGTCATACGGTGCCACATGCGCCAATTCCAAGATTGTACAAATGTCTAAATAGTGGCATGCTTATATAAACATTGTCCACATATAAGTGGTACCTCATATGGAAAAAGGGTGACAGCAAGTCCCAAACTATCTTGCCAATGGTCATGGTGTATGGTTTTTAAAAATGATTTTATATTACATTAGTAAAACATTTTTTTTATATTTCTGAATCCTCAACCAACTGCTGCTTCTCCCTTCCTTCCATCCCTCAGCAGCAATCAGTTTCCACTATGCCTATGTGGATTTTAACAACATTTTATTATATTTACTGTTCATGTTTTAGTTACCTTGTTGGGGGATGCATACAGTATGTGGCTTTGCATTTGAAAAATATTCTCTCCTTCCCCACAGAAGAGTCTGTGCAATGTAAATGACTAGAGGTGATGGATTTTTGGGCCTAGAATCTCACTCCCTTTTTGTGATCCTTGACATGTCCACTTTAGCTTATTGTATATAATGTGTCTCCTTGGTATTACAAATTGCCTAGCATTTAACTTGCTCAGTTGACATAACAAAGAAGACCAGCAAATACAGCATATTTAATGTAATTTAGCTGGAAAGCACACTTGTGACAACATGCACAGCACTCTTTGAAACCATAAGAACCAAAATACCATTTGTAGTAGTTCCACCAATTCCAGATTATAGAAGATCAGCCCTATACAAAGTTTATAGGGTGCATCATTTATGCCTTACTGCTCTCTCCCACCACAACTTCCTTCTGCCATTAGCCACATTTCATAGCTGGGAGCTGCTTTGTCAAAATGCAGCTACTCCCTTGTAAAATGACACTGCTTTGCATAAAGCAGTGTGCCCACAGTGAAGCACGCAGTTAACCCTTTGATCGCCCCACATATTAATCCCTTCATGCCCAGTGCCATTAGTACAGTATCAGTGATTTTTATTAGCACTGATCACTGCATTGGTATGACTGGGAATGTCAGTGACACCAAGTCAGTTCCCCCCAGTATCAGAATGCCTGCTGCAGTTCCGCAGCTGTAAGTCGCTGATCACTGCCATTACTAGTAAATTTTTTTTAAAAGCCCAGTATATATACCACCATTTGTAAATGCTATAACTTTCACGTAAACCAATTAATTTACATGTACATGTACTGGGATTTTTTTTTTTTTTTAGCAAAGACATGTAGCAGAATACATTTTGGCCTAAATTTATGATGAAATTTTATTTTTTTTAATTTTTTTACTGGACATGTTTAACCACCTCAATACAGGGCATTTACCCCCCTCCTGCCCAGACCAATTTTCAGCTTTCAGCGCTCTCACAC